TAGTAATCGATTGCATTTTCAAAAATGTATGTTCATCACCTAGCGCCTTACATCTTAGGCAAAAGAGAGACTAGATCATTGGGAAATATAAAGACAAATAGATTGGAAAACAGTGTGTAAACGATAATAAACATCGTATTCATTTTTGTATTATGGGATCTATTTGAACAAATAAGATTAGCTGAGTTGGATTAAACTGTTCATATTAAGCTACTGGAGACCAACTTATTGTAGGGTGAAAGAAATTTGGTTGGAATATAACTTTGGTAAAACAGTAAGCCCGAACATACCTGAGTCAGAATATTTGTGGATTCTCCAACAGCAGCTTCGATTGACACAAGCTTCATTGAGGGTGACTCAACCTTTTCGGGAGCGTATTTCTCGATTGTACTGTTAGCTATGGAAGGCATGGCCATGTTTCCATTGGTCCGAACTAACTCAATGGAGGGCTCGGCAACTTCGACCGAAGGAGTAGATACCACAGCATCTTCACTAAAAATAGGCGATGTGCCAGATAAAGTAGTTTAGCCGGGTAACTAAGACGTTGACGAAAAATGCAGAAAAATGGAAGTATTAGTACATTACTCATTTGGACTCACACCAACATGATGATATTTTAGTCATTCCCAGTGCAATGGAGAAATAATGCATTATCAAATACGGTTGTACCATTTATAAGCAAGTATTTGTAAACAATATAAACCAAGTACAATGAATACATTTGCTAAATTGACATAGACGGAAACCCTTATGTTATCAAGACCTCCTGTTATTGTCAAAATATATTACCTTCACTAAAAAAATTTATCATTGCGAATGGTTATTTTAAGACAAGATATTTTAGCATTATTGAAAATAGCAACAGATAGCGAACTAAATAAATCAATGTATGCATTTATAGATACCAATACAAATAATGAATAAAAGGGTTTGTAACCTTAACACCTACTGGAGAAGATATTTGGTAGCGGTATTTTATTGAACGTCTTATTCTCAGCATTTTGTTAACATAAAACAATCATTGGAAATGACTTGCATCTGATAGCCCAAGACTAATTTAATTAGCAGGAACATTCAAAACACAATTTGGTTAAGCCATTGGAGAGCAGACAACATACTAGTCCCAGTCCTAATTCTTTATATTTTAAGATATTAATTCTTTACTTTCAGGCATAGAGTAAGCTATTGCTTGAGAGTATTTGTCTTAACGAGTTAAAATCGCCTTGAAAACGTTGTCTAATACGATTTTACATGCGTTTTTCTCTTAGTCTAGATCTCGAACATTCCTAACTGATTCGGGCAGTCTTTGGACTACCAAACCTGCCGAAATGAACGGATTTGCCTAATTTCCACAATCCTATCTGAATTTGTATTATTTATTCTACACTCTTATGTCTTTAGCAAGTCTAACAACTCTTTCCCCATCAATCATTCCATTGCTAGTATTAAATTCGTTAGGGCACAAATAGGGGACTAGATAGCAAAAAAAGAGAAACATTTTTGTGGCAAAAACTAAGAGTTTGCTAAAAATAAAATCAACCGGTAAAGCAAGACCAGATGAAGACTACAAAAGTTCATTAGATAAGCGCAGTAAGGATAAGAACCTGTGTAAAATATCTTATCAATTATAAATGATCATGAGTTTCAAAAAATGCATTAAGAATTAAGAATTAAAAAAAAAAATTAGAATATGTTAGAAAGCTGGCAAACCATTTATAGGCGACTAAAGTTTAAACATACAAGTTGGCACTCAAATGACTTTGATTTAAACTAAAAATTGGGCGCACCTGATACCTAATGCAATGTCTCCAGTTTCTTCGTGTCGCTCCGATACTATGTCAGGTAGCTCGATCACTGAAAGGAAGAGAAGTTGGCGAGAATGTAATTCCACAAGACTAGAGGTGTATATACTAATAAGTAAAGCATATTTTATTTTTAGGTGATCTATAATAACATTTCCCACTTAAGGCAGGCCTGCACACATATTTATCTCCATCTCTTGGGTAATCAAACTGGATTGTTGAAAATTATGCAGGAAGATTGACCTGGTATAGCAAATTAAATTAAAGTGCTAAGATGAATAAAGCTCACAATAATTGTCAATGTCTAATTATTTTACAAACAATCCCGCCTTATCAGAACTTCTG